AAATGGACCATCACTGTTGAACAGGGGGAGGAGTGGCTTCAGACCTGTTGACTCTAACAAGCTGGTGATGAATGGTACCATGAGAGCAGGGTCTGTGAGGTTTTGGTTCGGAAAGACTGTGATGGTTTGAACAAAGTCATCCAAGTTATGCAGCAGATTTTTGAGGTATGCAGAAAAGGGATCTCCTCCTTGAATTTCTTCCAGATACAAGGCTGTCAGATTTTTGTAGACTTCTCCATACATGTGTTGCAACAGTATTACACTTCCATTGAGAACACTAGGGAATAAAGACAAAAATAGGACAGATTTTATAAATTATGTAGGTGTGGCAATATGATAACACAAATAGTTGAGAATATTCATCTAACTCTCACAAACTGAAAATTCCATGGCCAATATTGTTGGTTGAGGGTTTTTTTCTAGTCTATCCATATGTTTAGTCCAAACTGTAAGTTATTCTTACATTTAGTTGCCAGTCACAAGATATTGTATGAAGAAATAACAGTGGCAAAACATTTAATTGTGTAAGATATTTTAATAAGTAACAGTTTTTGATTAGCCCATAGAAAATTAATGGTTAAAAGTCAATAAAAAAATCCCCAAGCACATAAAGCCTATGACTCATTTCCACAGGAAATGAAAATAAGCAGTGTTAGTCACTTACTTTAATAGCACATCTGGGTTTGGTGACATCAGAGCTTCTGTCACAGCTGTGGCCAACTGTGGCCACTTCAGGCCAGTGTCACAATAAGGGACAAAAGAGCTGATATTAACATAACCTAAAGAACAAAGTAGAAACAGTTATTCCTTTATCCATAACTAACTTTTTTCTTTACTGGTATAGCCTCTGCATGCTGGTAAGGATAAGCTTACTTAGGTTAGAAGTAATTAGAGCAGTGAGAACATTGTGCAAAGATGATGATTTTAGCCTTTTTGCAGAGTGGAATAAAGGAAATGAAAACAAAAAGGCTCACAGTTTGGTGGCTGTGTTGTAACACCAGGCCTGTAGTTCAAAACCCAGTAAACCACATGGAAGTAGTCCTTCATCTCGGGCCAGTAATCACTCTCCTCAAGCTTTTTTCCATACTTTTCAGCAAACAGGATGAGGCTGCAAGCAAAGCAGAAACATACCACTGAAGCAGTGAAAATAAGACACCTCATTAAAAAAAATAAAAAATGAAATGATTGCAGTTTTTGATCCTCATATTCACCAACATTTAACTTGCACATTTCTAGAGTCTTTGCTTTTAAACCTCTTTTGAGTGAGTGATTTTTCTAACATTCCTGGCTGTGTTCATTTTCCTCATTGTAGTGCTATGTAACATACAGTATCTATGAGAGTACAGTACTGTCAACACTGTGTCAAACCTTTGTTGAAGAGCTCCAGGAAGATGATCAACACTTATCCCTGGCATCCAGTTCTTCCATTCCACTCCACCCAGTTTTGTATTCAAATATTCAGCAAATTCCAAGTTGGTGTTGTAAAACTTGTGCCACTCAGCGAGAACCATAGGAAGGGTTACACTGAGCTCTGTTTGACCTCTGACAATGCTTTGCACTTCTTGCATCTGACAAAGATAAATAAAATATGAATATAATTAAGAAAAAGGCAACCCACTGACCTAAAGCCTTTATAGCCAAATCAAATAAATTTCCTAGGATTGTCTAACAATATTAAAAATAAAATATAAAGGCAGACTGACGAGATGGATTATTTATTCCTTACATAATGTGGAATATTTAGTACTTATTTATCGATTGAAACAAAAAACCTCAAATAAAGCATGTTTTTACCTGTTGGACAACCGGCATCCAGTCCACCATCAAAGCTTGACTCAGAGAGGTGCTGTTTTCGCAGAACATCAATCTCCACACTTCTATCTTTATGGTCTTGGAGGGCAGGAGCCACTCAATGGGTTCAAGAAGTTTTTCACATGAATTATACTGTGAATCCTGCGTCTAGTAAAACAGATGAGGGGAAAAAAAAAACTTCACCTGCCAATGTTTTAATTCTCCTTCACAGTTTTTTATGTTTAAAAACTAAATGCTGTTCCTTTACATTATATACTCCTATATCCATTGGGATGCTTTAGTGATATGTTTTGTTTTATTTGTTTATGGAGTGCACCAGAACTTCTACTTTGTACTGAAAAGATTTTTAATAAGGTCCTTTCTGTGACTCCAGCTGCAAGTAAATGACACTACAGCCTATAATACTTTGTATAACTTATAACTTACTAATTCTAACACACCACAAGTCAACTTGGAGTAAGATCCTAGAAGTCAAGGGCATTGTTACATGAAGGAAATTGTAGCATACCTTGATAATTATTTCCGTCACACTTTCCAGAATGTGGCTGATCCAAGCACTTGCCCCAGACTGGTTTGTCAGCAGAGGGTGAAACATCTGTTGGAGAGTTTCTGCATCGTTCAGGACATTATCCATGACTTCTGTACATGCAGAAGATAAATGTATAACAATCAGACAAAGGCAGATTGATACATGTTCAGTGGGAAATCTTGTGAAGACATAAACTTACAGCCCTTATTTTTGGGTTTATTCCAAGTTTTTGTGTAAGACAAGACACTTTTAATATCCTTTTAAGTCTACATTTTCTGTCTTTCATCATTCCCCAGAGAAAGGGTGTAAACTTGTTTTATTCACCTTTTGGTTATACAGTATAGAATAATCCATGTCAAGATAACAACAGTGACTGTTGAAAAATATTACGTGAAAGGGAAAAAACTAAGTCACACTCGCAAAAAATGAAGTCATGTTATTAAGAGTCCTTGGTATAAGCAAGAGTTAATTATAAGCTTACTTTCCACAGTGGATAACATCACCATCTCTGCCTTCATGGTCTGGAACACAGAACTGAGCGATCTCTCAACAACCATATCAAACTCAGGATCAGTGTTTGCAATCTCCACAAGCAACTGGCCGATACCCAGAAATCTGACAAAACAATAAAAAAAATTTTTTTTTAAATCATTACTCATTACAACAGGAGTTACTAATGCACATACAAAACTGGAAAAAAAATAAATAAAAAGAAGTAAAAATGGCTCCTTTTACTTAAGGATTATTTTTTTCAGTGTAAAAAAAAAAGGCAAAATCTACATTTTTTTTATTTATTTTAAATATAAACAGAAAATTAGAAAACACGTTATCCCTAAATGTTAGCTGTCAAACAGCAAAGGTTAAAAAAAATAATGTAAAAATTTAGAAAATTAAATTCTCTTGTCTAAAATTTCAATGGGTTATAATCTGATTGATAGCTTAGCATAGCCACTAACTGATACTGGTTAGAAATATATATATATATATATATATTACGTCCAATTGTTTTATTGCCTTTCCACAAAATTTAACACAACAAAAACAAAAATGCATATTGTGTGATGTGAGAAGCCTATTAGCCATTTACTATTTAACTTGTTTTCATAAAACGACGGAAAATTTGAATCTCTTCACAACAACAGCAGCACATAGGGATGACACAGCCGAACACTTACAGCTCCTCCTCTGAGTTCTGTGGTTGTGTATCCACGCTACGCTGATATCTCGTGGTGTTGGAGACCCCTGAGGCTGAACATCCCATCAGATCGCAAACCAGTTCTTTGACGAAGGCGACATCATCCGCTGCCACATATTTAATCCATGCCAGGAAAGTCTAAGATTGACAGAATTTAAAATAAAGAGGAAAAAAAAATTAGAATTAATTTCAAACTTAAATCTGTTCCACAAAGACAAACTAAGACTGGACTTGTGCAATTAATGCAAAATAAAATAAAATAAAAAAAAACTTAAACTGTAGTTTGGGAGCCTTATTGCAATATTTTTATATGATCAGTGTTTAACATAAAATTAACCTAAAAACTTTTTTCCCTTTGTTTTTATATAGTTTTAAAAAGGAATGCACTCATGCCTTCATCTGCACATGAAACAACCCAACCGAGAAAAGGAAAGGCTAAATTTTTCAGTAAAGCATAACTCAACAGGAAGATTATGAAATGTTATTATTTGCAAGAAGTCATAAAACCATTTTCATCCACAAATATGAAATGTCATTTGATATCAGTCATCACCTGTTCTTTTTTTTTGTGTCCAATCATTTGTGGTTAATCTTTTTCAGCCTTGGCTTCAGTTCCTTCTACTCATTTTCTTTGAAAAGTCCTCACTTCGTGACGTGTGAACATTTTTATGACTCCCCGTTCTATTATTGTTTTCCCTTATTCGCTCCCGTCTGTTCAGTTTCTCGGAAATATTTCTCACCTGGTTGAATTTCTGATTGGTGGACTTGAATCAAGCTATTCACGACATCTGTCCGAGTTTATATCCGTCCAATTTTCTTTCTGCCTCGCCAGATTATTGTCATGCAAACCAGTTTTTATTTGCCTGTTATTACATACAATTTATGATCCTTTAATTTAAATCCTTAATCATTGACATTTTTTTATTATGTTATTTCATATTGTTTCACATGCTTACGTAAAAACATTTTAAATAAATGTTAATATATATGCATGTACACATTTCTAGTCTATCTTTTACATATAAAACTGTAACCTCCAGCAGATAATCTTTAATTTGTTCTCTTTTATGAAAATAAATATTTCTGTTAACCTAAGTGGCAAGTCAGTGAAAGTCTGTAGGAGCTTTTCTACACACTTGGTGACAAATTAACATTTGCAGATCCCTAACAACTAAAATAAAAATTTAGCTTTTATTATTTTGGACATTATCACACCACAGACCAAACCAAGACTAAAACAAGAAATTAAAACCAGAAATTTGCATCAATTACACTTCCTAAAAGATTACAGATTCAGGCTTTAGGGGGAGTTATGTGTTATATGCCAGTAAGGCATATAGTATGTGCATTGACACGTTCGTATCCAGTGACTTTGAGCTTTTAAGCACATTAATGCTTTGTACCTGTTACCAATTAGTTATCATTAGTTTGAGGTTTTTTTTTCTTTTCTCAAAGGGCTTCTTGTATCTGTAATTGCCTGTTGCTACAGCTACCAGCTTCCTTACAGCTACAGACATCCCATTTGGTTTACGCAGCAGGGTGACATGGCAAAAATGCAGATAAACAAGCGATGCTCCAATGTCAAAATTTAGTGTAGCATATATTCATAAATAATAAAATAATAATATTCATATTACTCAGAAATAACAAAAATTCTCAATATCCTCAATTTCTGAAACACTGTTTTTTCATTATTTATAAACCATAATCATCAAAATTACAAGAAACAAAAGCTTGAAATAATTCACTCTTTTTGGAATGAATCTATAAGCATATAATTAATCTATAATGAGTTTCACTTCCTGAAATTTTCTGACATGCACCTGAAATGAATGTTTGTCATTTTCAAGATGAGTGCTTTTCTGAACTGTAATTGAACAGCCAATGCAAGGGCACCTTTCTTGTGCAAGAAATTCAAGTGGGTAGGAGTGTGTAAGAATAAAGGTAGCTATTTTTTTTTTTTCTTTTGCTGCTTTTGACTTATCTGAGGCAGCACAGAGAGAAAGATCCTAGCAAGTGGAGGAGTAAGGTTGACCTATAGAGTATATACTGTACTATACTGTATAAACTATACACACATATTGCAGCACACATTTTGACATGACAACCCAGTTTTCAAAAGGAACTTTTCTTATGCCTATATCCAACCCCACACCAAAATGGAAGTCAGTACCTCATTTATTTTTCAAATTGTCACGCTTACAAATTGGACAAACATACATGGCAGCAACTAGAGCTATCATTTCTAACCCGAACCCGAAGCCTGGCTTGGCCCTAATAATGTGCTTAATGTGCAGGCCAGGCCGGTGTCGGGCTTTTCATTGCGTCAGCGGCCATTCGACCACACGCTGACCGGCCTTGAAAGAGATAAAAAAAAATGTTCAGTTAAGCTTCAGATGGACAGAAATAAGTGACCAGCACGAACAAAGCCAATTGATATAAAATGGATGCTCATTCAGCCGCTGCAATCAGCGGACTCACTCAGCCGACGACCCAATCAGGTGAGGTCCCAAAATATCAGACATGTCAGAGCAGGGTCCGTGTCTGAATAATGCAGAATGCAGGCAGAAGCAGGGATTTAATGCGTTTTGACGACCATGAAAGGACAAACACCCCCTCAGCTCCGATCTTCTGCCCCCATAGCTGTGTGCATTCACGACCGTTAATAACTATAACAGTTAAAGCTTAATTAAAAATGTTGTGTGTGTGTGGGGGGGGGGGGGTCGGGTGTGGGCCTATAATTACTGTTAATTCATAGGGGTTCGGAAATGATGGCTGCGGGCTAGGGCTGGGTCAGGTAGGCCTATTTGGGCCCGAATGCAACTGTAGCGGCAAACTCTTGGAGTTTACATGGCTAACCAATATTTGAAAGAAACTTTCTTACACCTAGATGTAGCCACACACCAAAATGGAAGTCAGTCCATCCATCCATCCATTTTCTTTACCCGCTTATTCCATTTTGGGTCACGGGGGTCGCTGGTGCCCATGTCCAGCAATCACTGTGCGAGGGGCGGGGTACACCCTGGACGGGTTGCAAGTCCATCACAGGGACATATAGAGACAAACGAGACAAACAACCATTCACTCTCTCACTCACACCTAGGGACAATTTAGAGTTATCAATCAGCCTAACATGCATGTTTTTGGTCTGTGGGAGGAAACCGGAGTACCCGGAGAAAACCCACGCATGCACGGAGAGAACATGCAAACTCCACCCAGAAAGGCCCCCGGACCGGGATTTGAACCAGGGACCTTCTCACTGAGAGGCAGCAGCTCTACCAGTTGCGCCACCGTGCTGCCCGTGGAAGTCAGTATCTCACTAATTTTCAAGTTATCATGTTCGCAATGTGCACCAACAAACAGACAGTATTTCGGATTCCCCCTCTTTGCTCCATGACACGGGACAACAAAAGGAAGTGAGGTTGTCATGCTACCCACATAAATCCTGTAGCTGACTCATTATTGATGTCTGTAATTCCCTCTGTTCTGACAATAACAACCCAGACTCCATCCTACCTGTTTGACCACTTGTTCTGGGTAGATCCAGCTGAGAAGCATGTCCATGGTGCCGGTACTGCACGCTGCTGTTAGCCACAGTGGCTTACTGTTGTCACCACACAAGTTAGAATACACAGCTACTTTATCCCATGACAGAGCAATGGCCTAGGACACAAAAAATTAAATTAAAACATTTATGAATTTTGAGCTTTTCTACAAATTGTAGCCATTGCAATTGTATGTTATAGACACGATACCAGAGACTTATCTCAGAAGCTGAATACATGCTACATTTACCTAAATGTCATGGAAACCAACCCTTTAACATATCTTTGAACATTCAAAGTATCTTCTTGTTTTGCAGCTTTAAAAAATATATAATTGGACTAAAGTACTTGCTGGAGGGCAGAACATAAAGACCAAAGGAGCAACTGCTTCTTCACTTTTACTTGGAAATTAGTTCTTTTTGGAAAACTCCTTTTGAAAATGTGTGAAGGAAGTCAAACATAGCTGTTTCACTATCATTTTTCAGTATCGCAAAAATAAAATGTTTGTGGAGGATTTTCAGTAAATTCTGGATGGAAAAGCATAATGTCACATACCATATGTAGTGGGATCTGAACCTCTTGCAGAATGCGTTTTGCAATTTCACTAATTGTGTCATTGGGCAACGTGACGACATCTCCAAGGGATATTGTAACGTCTAAGCAAACAAAAACACATGATCAGAAATTTGGCATAAAATTTGAAACATATTTTCTGTTAAATTTTCACAAATTGTCCCAGTAAATTTCAAAGTAATTACTTTTTCCAGGCCAGTTGTTAGCGTAGTTGATCACGTTGAGTCCTCCATGAAGCACTGGGCCAATTGTGGAGAATGAGTCAGCTGTTTGAGGGAAATTGTTCTCCAAGGAAAGCAAAATACTAAAGACAGATAGGGAAAAGACAGAAGTGAGAGCAAATATATATAAAAAAGGAATACTGGTAATCAAATTCAATTACATTTTTTGTAGGCCAGTTTTCTAAAAACTGATATTTCATTGGGGGAAAAAGGGAGGACTAAACCACTTCAGTTGTGCCCTTCTATCATAACCCATTTGCACATAATGTGGTGATATATCACCTTCTGTTAATTTTGCACTTTTGTACTGGTAAAACTATGTTACCTTTGCAAATTTGTGAGCAATGCTTCACTGCTGTTCAGAATTTGATCAGCAGAAAGAGAAGAGACGATCTCGGGAAAAGCTAGAAGGCTCTCCCACAGTGAAGTATCGTTCTGCAGCTGATCAAATGCTAACACCGACATCCCAGCCGACGTCATCATCTCTTCTGGGTTTTGCACCAACAGCTCCGTTAGTATCTAAAAGCAAGGAAAACAAATGTTACAAACAAGTACTGGCAACAGTCCCAGTTTGTTAGGCGATAAAAAAAGATGTCTTAAATAAACCCACAAGCTGCTCAAACGAACCGTGTTCACTGTTTGAAGGGAGACTTCGAACAAAGTGATGTTGGTGTTGCAGAAAATGTCTGCAGCGTTGGTGACGGTGCTGGGTGCTTCACTCTTTATCCAGGGCAAAGCCACAGCACAGACGGCTCTCTTCAACACATTCACAGACTCAAGTATTTTGTTCATGGTTTCCTGCAAGAAATATGATGTAATTCACTGCACACAGGCCATCACTACCAAAACTCCCTCCTGTCACTAACACTTGGGCTGTACAGATATTTGTAACAACTGGCATGATCATATTTTTACATATGCTTACATTTCTTTAACAAAAGACCCTGTAACCTTCAAACAAATTAATAAACAGATGCTATTCAACTCCATAAATATGACTATTGCAATGGTTCATTATCTGGGTGTCCAAAAAACTTCTTTAAGAAGCCTTCAGTTGATCCAAAATGTTGCTGCCAGAGTTTTAATGAGTTCAGTTCAGTTTATTTATCAGAGTCAGAGTCAGAGTCAGAGTCAGAGTTTCTTTATTGTCATTCGCACCTCATGTGGTACATGTGGTGGAGCGAAATTATGTACACAGGGTCCCAGTTACATCCAACAATAAAATGTATAAGAAAAACAGTAATAACATCTAAGATATGAACTAAGAAAAACATCAACTAAATATACACTAAGCACTCATAACATAAAACATTGAACATCACCACAAACATGAACATGAGTCTGTGAGCAGATGTGCACGCATGAACACATCAACATTGAAACAGATCAGCAGCAACATGAAACAGATCAGCAGCAACATGATATGGTTTTTCACAGTGATTATTCTAGTTAGAGATTCATGAGTCTAACAGCCTCAGGGTAGAAGCTGTTCCTCAGTCTAGTGGTTCTACACTTAATGCTCCTTAACCTCCTTCCTGAGGGGAGTGGGGCAAAAAGTGTGTGTGCTGGGTGGGTGGGGTCCTTCATGATGCAGGTGGCCCTCTTCCTGCATCTGGAGGTGTAGATGTCTGTGATGGTGGGGAGACTGACTCCAACAGATTTCTGTGCAGCCTTCACCACTCTCTGCAAAGCTTTTCTTTCTGCAGCTGTGCAGCCTCCATGCCACACATTGATGCTCGAGCACAGGATGCTCTCCACTGCACACCTGTAGAAGGAGGTGAGGACTGAGCTTCCCAGACCAGCTCGCCTCAGCCGTCTGAGGAAGTAGAGTCTCTGATGAGCTTTCTTGATCAGGCTGGTGGTGTTGTTGCTCCAGCTGAGGTTGTCATTCATGTGTACACCCAAGTACTTGTAGCTGGAGACCACTTCCACCGCAGATCCTCTTATGTTCAGGGGGGTGTAGGTGTTTTTGTTCCTTCTGAAGTCCACAATCATCTCCTTTGTCTTCTTCACATTGATGTGAAGGTTATTCTCTCTGCACCAGCTCTCCAGGTGTTCCACCTCCTGCCTGTAGCTGGACTCATCATTGTTTGTGATGCATCCCACCACCGCTGTATCATCTGCAAACTTTACAATGTGACAGCCTGGATGGGTAGCTGCACAATCATATGTGAGCAGAGTAAACAGGAGGGGGCTCAACACACATCCCTGAGGAGAGCCAGTGCTGAGGGTTATGGTGGAGGAGGAGAGGTTGTGGATCCTCACTAACTGTGGTCTGTTTGTTAAAAAGTCTAGTACCCAGTTGCAAATGGAGGGGCTTAGTCCTAGTGTGGATAGTTTGTCCATCAGGGTTTGGGGGATCATGGTGTTGAAGGCGGATGTGAAGTCCACAAAGAGCATACGGACGTAAGAGTTTTTCTGCTCCAGGTGGTTGAGTGCAGTGTGGACCACAGAGGAGATTGCATCCTCTGTTGATCGGTTCTCACGGTATGCGTACTGATGAGGGTCCTCGTTGATGTTGATGGTTGTTTTGATGTGAGTCATGATCAGTTTTTCGAAGCATTTAGCGACTATCGGGGTGAGGGCCACTGGCCGATAGTCATTCAGACCAGTCACTGTAGAGCTTTTTGGGACTGGGATGATGGTGGCAGTCTTCAGGCAGGTGGGAACTGTCTCCAGGGTAAGTGAGGTGTTAAAGATGTCTGCCAGCACCTCACAGAGCTGATCAGCACATTCCTTCAACACTTTTCCGGGGATGTTGTCTGGGCCAGTTGCTTTGTGCGGATTAATCCTCCTGAAGGTACTCCTTACTTCTGCTGAGGTCACGCTGAGATGCTCTTCATCCGGTGGTGAGGTGAGTCTGGTGCTGGGTGGTCTGTTCGGGTCTTCAAAGCGTGCATAGAACTTGTTGAGGGCATCAGGCAGAGATGGGTCTTTGGGACATTGTTCACTCCTTCCTTTATAATCTGTTATGCACTTAATGCCCCTCCACATGCTCCGAGGGTCTTGTGAGATGAATTGACCCTCGATCCTCTTTGCATATGTGGCCTTATCAAGCGCCAAGTCACAACAGATGTCATCTCAGGGCACTGAACATAAGCATTCATATATAAAAAAATAATAATTTAACATTAATTATCAGAGGAGCAGACTGCTTTGAGTTTAACTCCATTACAGAACTCTCATCTTGAGCAAGCATGAATGCAACAGTGGAAAGAAAAAACTCCCTCATGAGGAAGAAACGTTTAGCAGAACCAGGCTCAGGACAAGCGGTCACCTGCTTCAACCAGCTGGGTTTGAGAGGAACAGATACACAATGGCAGGTCAAGAATCACATGTTCGGATAGAAATAGTATCAAATGAAAACTATTCAATTGTAACAATTAATTTAAGGAAATTAGGTCAATTTGTCCTCCAGTAGTCTAAGCTTATAGCACCGTAACAAGCCAACTCTAACTATAGGATTTATCAAAAAGGAAAGTCTTAAGCCCAGTCTTAAACTGGACAATGTGTCAGCCTTACTGACAGAAACTGGAAGTTGGTTCCACAAGAGAGGAGCCTGATAACTGAAAGAGCTTCCTCCCATTCTGCCTTTGGAAAATCTAGGGACCACGAGCCTGCAGTCTGAGAGCGAAGTGCTCTGTTAGGAAAATATGGAACAATAAGATCTCGAATATAAGATGGAGCTAGGTTGTTGAGAGCTTTGTAGATTAGAAGTAAGATTTTGAATTAAATTCTGGATTTGACAGGGAGCCAATGGAGAGAAGCTAAAACTGGAGAGATATGATCTCTCCTACTAACTCCAGATTAAACTCTGGCAGCAGCATTTTGGATTAACTGAAGACTTTTTAAAGAAGTATTTGGACACCCAGATAACAAACCATTGCAATAGTCCAGTCTAGACGTGACAAATGCATGAACCAGTTTTTCTGCATCATTTTTAGATAAAACGTTTCTAATTTTAGCGATATTACGTAGGTGGAAGAACGTGGTTCTAGTAATGTTTATTTTTATTTTTTTATGTGGGGGGATAAAAGACATGTCCTGATCAAAAATAACACCACGATTTTTAACATTAGATCTGGAGGCCAGATTAATGCCATCCAAGGAGGGCGAACGACTGAAAAAATTAGTCCTAAGATGCTCAGGTCCAAAAACTAAAACCTCAGTCTTGTCTGTGTTCAAAAGCAGGAAATTTAGGGTCATCCATTGAGTTGAGGAGAGACCATATTTCTCCAGTTTTAGCTTCTCTCCACTGGCTCCCTGTCAAATTCAGAATATAATTCAAAATCTTAATTCTAACCTACAAAACCCTCAACAATCTAGCTCCATCTTATATTACAGATCTTATTGTTCCTTACTTTCCTAAAAGAGCACTTCACTGTCAGACTGCAGGTTTACTTGTGGTTCCTAGGGTTTCCAAAAGTAGAATGGGAAGCAGAGCTTTCAGTTATCAGGCTCCTCTCTTGTGGAACCAACTTCCAGTTTCTGTCCGTGAGGCTGACACATTGTCCAGTTTTAAGACTGGGCTCAAGTCTTTCCTTTTGATAAATCCTATAGTTAGAGTCAGCTTGGGCTTCCTGAGCTATCCCTTAGTTATGCTGCTATAGGCTAATACTGCTGGAGGGCAAATGGACCACGTTTCTTCTCCTGCTTCTGTCTTTACTCGCTTTACTTCACCTGTTTGTACATGTATTTGTAATTACAGTATTTCTATCCTTGTGTGTTTTTTGTCTTTCCTCCTATAGAAAGTACACCTGGACCTGCCATTATGTGTCTGACTGTTTCTACTTCATGTCTTCTGAACCCCAGCTGGTCAAAGCAGATGGCCGCTCGTCCTGAGCCTGGTTCTGCTGGAGCTTTCTTCCAGTTAAAAGGGAGTTTTTTCTTTCCACTGTTGCCACTGTGCTTGCTCAGGATGAGAGACTGCGACAAAATGAAGATTCAGCACAATCTGCTGGCTCCTTTAGATAGATAACTTTTACTAATTGGCTTTTATAACGTATGTGAAAGTTTTTGTACAGTGCCATGAGATAACTTCTAATGTGACTCTGAGCTATATAAAGTATATAAATTATTGTAAAATGTTTTCCCACTTCAACTGCTCATGGCAATCCTCACCTGATCGGTCATAGTGGTGTTGACTGGACTCACAAAGGTGACATTATTAGAGTTTCCTTGATAGGAAGAACCTGTAAGATGAAAACAAATAGTTCAAGACAGCCAGATATAAAATTTAACACAATAACAGTAATATACAAAAAGGCAAATTTATATTGTGTTTATTTTCTTGTAAAGTTGGATTAAAAGACAATTGTCACTTTAAAAAATATATATTTTAATTTGTGAGTATCTCCAGTAAAAAAAGAAAGAAGAAAAGTCTCAAATGGTCACACACATAACCATCTATAAAGCAAGAAATACATACCCACAAGATTTTCCATGACATTAACCAACATTGCAGTGTCACTGTTGGATGTACTGGGGAAATCAAAGTTGAAAAATTCTCCTTGAATCAACTTTTCCAGTGGGGTTTTCTCTGAAGAGTCAACGGACCTGTGAAACAAAAACCAGCAGGATTTGATAAAGTCATAAAGACTTTCTATTCAGATAACCAAAAGCATAAACTTGCAATGTTGTTGGCTTCAAAGTTCATGCTCAATAATCCAGGTTAAAAAAAAATCCAACATAGTTCAGTCAGGTCATCTGGACAGTTTATTTATTAATTTTTTATTGGTGGGGGTGGGGGTGCGTGAGACGCTTTGTCCTTCATCCAAAGGACTTCATCAGTCCGAGGAGCCACAACAAACTAAGTCCCATGAGCAGCAGCACACCCACATAGTGCACCAATCAATTTGCTGGTGATAAGATGGTTTCTGGAGCCCGCCCTCTCCCCCGTCGACTCCTCTGAGGCAGCCATAGCCAAAATGATTCAAAACATCAACGTTCATGCTCAGTAATCCAGGTTTAAAAAAATCCAACATAGTTCATTCAGGTCAAAACATCTCAACAAAAAAATTAAAAGAAACCGTATAGAAATAACCGTATAGAAATAATAAACAAAAACTTGTTATCAAGATACTCATGAAAAACAAAGGGAGTACTGAATATTTGCTGTCTTTTTGACTGTATTCTGCTCATTTTCTTCAGCCTATTAAGCTGAGCTTATTTCCAATCTCCAGCATTTCTCTAAGATTTAAATCAAACTTTTAATAAATAAATGCTTCATCATTTCTTCATGTTATTTCATTCCACTGCAGAGCTTCATATCAATATGCTGTTGTCAGGTCAGCTTGGATTGCAGTTTTTCTTTTCTGACATGTTATCTTCAAGCATTCCTTTTGATCCAAAAAAACGCATTGGCTGCAAACTCCTCTGAGCGCACTGTTCTAAACATTTCCAATGTTCCAACACACCTGATCTTATTAAGTTCCTCAACAAGTTCTACAAAATCCTTTATATTCAAATGAAGTGTGCTGATATAAAGAAACATTTAAAACATGCAGACAGTGCACCCAAAGGATCAGGGTCAGGACATGAGCCTTTGAGCATCCAAGTGAGATATTAACAATTAATAATCAACATGTGAAATGGAAAGATGGCTTTGCAGCTACTTCCTGTGACGACATAAGATCTTGTGCAACAACCCAGCAGTAGGATTTAAAAGCTTAACATCAAGGAACAGATTTATCACTGAGGAGGAGATCGGTGATGAGGCGCAGCAACTTGACATTTAGTTTGAAATTTTGGTTAGACGGAGAAAAGGTCGCTAAGCTGAGTTATTTGTCATGTTCTAAGGTAGGTGTCGTCTACAACATTGGCATCAAAATGCAGGAAATGGCATCTACTTTATTCAAAATTTTCTGAGGGAGGAGCCCAGACCCGCACCCACCACCTCCGCCTAATATTTGCGTTTCGACATCGATGGGTTTGCAAATGAAGCTCTGTTACTTGGTGTGGCTACTACTGTTATGATTCTGTTTTATGTAAAGAGTTTTCTGCAATAATTTGAAGAAGTGGCATTACATTTATGTTCATTACGTGAAAAGGTGAAGTTTTTAAGTGTTTTGTTGATGCTGTTAATTTTCTCAAAAGTGTCATTTTTTTGTAAGTTGAAATTAAAAATGTTGCTCATTGTGTCTTGAATGAAAAATACCCCACGTTTAAAAGTATAAAAATTATATTAACACCATTAACGAACAGGTCTTACACATTTATGCTACACAAATATTGCCATTGCATTAAAAAGATACATTGAAGAAAATTATTTTATAAACATGAGGGTTATAAGGGGGTCCCTGAAACTTTTTCTCCCCTGTAAGGGGTCCCTGAACCCAAAAAGTTTGAGAAAACCTGGTTTACACAATGTGCAGTGCTTCACGTCAGCTGGGTTCAACTCTATGCCTCTTTTGGCTTCGCTTCATTTCTGAAAGCTCTCATCCATGCAGGAACTGACGAGCTCAGTTAGTGACTGATCAACAGTCACTTATTGACCGTTCAACGACGAACCAGTTTTTGTGTCTATTTCCCAGAAGCTTTCGTGAAAATGTCTTTAGATATTAAAACGGAAATATTCTAGAGTTCCTCAAGTCTTTCTGACCTTCCACACACTCATTTCAACCTAACAGCAGTTTCCAGAAAGAAGCAGAACCATCAGAGCTTCTTTCTTCATCTGTATATACTGTATAGATTCGTTTCTCCAGTAATTACCTTAAATCGACACGTTTTTATAGAACTTTGTTCATTTTTACATGACTGTCCATACTTCTAAGAAAATACACTAAGATTTTTTTTCTTGGAAAGTTATTTTTAAAGGTCTCTCATAATGCCAAGGCTTTGTTTCTTAAAATCCACACAGGCTTGACTAACATGAGCTGGAGGTTGACCCAAACTATTTTTTCCACCAGCTGCCATGTTTTCCTGCTTACAACAATAAAATCTTGAACTTTTTTTTTTTCTAAGAATACCTGATTGACAAGAAAGCAAACAGATTACACGCCTTTGAATGTAAACCTGTTCATTTATGTATAGGAGTGTCGTTTTATGGTTATCACACACAAAAGATCCTCAAATAATAATTGAGTGTTTCAGTGTGAGGCACTGCAGATAATTTGTAGTCTAGCAACACAGTTACCTTCTCTTTCTTGATGACGTTGATGCCATTGGGTTCACCAGTTGAGATGTGTTATGACAGTGGCTGTCTGTGTTGCACAGGACGGTCTGCAGGAAAGGGAAGAATCCAGCGCTGGGTAGGTTTCGAGGCCCAACATAACCTAAAAGATGTTTGATAAGTTAAAGCAACACATATAAGCATCACTATAAAACATAGTGAATATATGTATATATATATATATAGAGAGAGAGAGTTTAACAAGTACATAAGCCAAACTCTTGCAATCAAGTCAGTTTTATGTCATTTCTGAGTCATATACGTATTTTTGACAACAAAAAAAAAACAATCAGAAAATTTGTTCAAGAAGATTTTCAAACTGTTCCCATATAAGAAGCTTGAGCTTTATTATTTTAGGTCATGCCACTTTAATGTGCATGTAACTTAAAGCATCTTTTGTTCAAGAAGCAAACAAAGCTAAAGCGCAGGACAAAAGAAACTGTTTTGTGAATGGCATGGAGATTAAGTTGCAGTCAAGCAACTACCCATGCACGGAACAACTGATTTCAGGTATTCGTTCCTGGTAGCTCACAGCGTATGACTGATGAGCCTCACGAGTCTTATGGAAGTCATGTTTAAACCCAAAGCATAGAAGCCACCTTTGAAAACATGAACTACAGACGCTGTGGTTGTCCTGTGCATTCACACACCCAGGTTTCATTGTCTCAATGTAAAGTCGGCACAGTGACGTACGGAAAATGAGCCAAAGAATAAACTCTTTGGAGCATGACATGTAAACAAGGAGAACAAAAAAGGGCATTTTAGAAATTATGTGAAAATGATGTGTCCATACACTTTGAACAGCTGTTTAACAAACGCCAAGCACATAATGGCTGCATGTTTTATGTAACTGCAGTGAGATGAACTTTGAAATGTTAAAGACCTTACTCTAAAAATGAAGAATAAAGTATTTACAATGGTGTTTGTTTCTTAATTCCCTTCCAAATATAACACAATTTCAATACAGGAGATGCTAACTTGTTATATAGAGAAAATTGATTTTTTTTATTTTTTTTATGCTATCAAACCATTTAAATTGTACTGACAGACCTATTTGAAACACAAAAAATACATAATTTATGTTTGGTCTCGTCAGTCATTCAGTCATGCTTGATATCGAGGACGGTTTTGTTGTCTGTTGTGGGTGTGCTCAGATGCCGCATGTTTCTAACACATAAAACAAATGGTTCTATGGTTTTGATATGGTGGATAGTTTTTACATTCAAGCCCACATGGATTATCAAATTACAAAAAAAATAAAAAATCTTGCTGTCTCATGATACAGTCTATGCATAATAGGCTTAAAACACAAAAGAAGGTGGGTCAATGTGAAAACATAAAGTTACACACCTCAGTTCCAACCTGTTCATTTTTTAACCAGATCATATACAGTTTGAGGAGGGGAGGCTGTTTATTTAAACAATAATGCTGTGATCTAAAAATACTGTGGCATTGTGAGATTAGAACCTCTTGGAAGCCAAATGCCAAAGCCTGACCCTCCCTTTACAAGAAACAAGTGCAAATGGAAACACAAAAGACTGAATGTGACACTCCTTTTTGAAGCACCTTCACCCACATCTACCACAGGTGAACCAGTATATCAACAGGATTTAATTAAATAAAAGCCTACAAATGCCATGTCAACAGCTAACAGGTCCAAATCTGAAGGACTGTTAATTTTTTTTAATTCAATCCGTAAGTTGTTTACTCTGCTCTCGAAACTGAAAAGTCCACAAGTGTCGCGCTGATGACCTTTAATAACTCCAGTCAAAAAGTCCTGCCGTTCATGTAGTATCACATTAATGCTTATTTTAGAACCAGTTTAAAGTGTATATGTCAAGTGTACCCTTCATTAACTCTGTCTGGATCATTTGAACAAGGTTGCAAGAATTTAATGGTTTAAAAAAAATATGTCAAAGAAAAATACATACTAATACCATAAAGCCTTAATGTGGATACAGAAACCTGTACCTGTTAATAATGGGAGTTTTCATTGGTTACATTTGCCAGAATGAATAGATTTTCTTAGGATTTCCCAGAAACAGCTTAATATGTTTTTTTTTTGTTTTTTTTTTGTGGTGTGTTTAGCCTGTATTTTATATGCTACCATTCATCATTTAAGTGTATTTAACATCAGTTTTACACTCACATGTATCTGTTGGAAATGCAGGGAAGTGGTATCGGGTCACAGCGATGATGAGGAAGATGACCAAAGGCCAGATGAGCAGAGTCAGGGACCACAACTACAAAAAAAATAATACATCCACGAGCATCAGTAATGAAAACCAGGTAAGAAAGTGCTCATTTAATTGCATTATATTCAAATGCAGATTCATTAACGCAGGATATTGTTTTAAATATGAGATTCAACTAATCTGAAGTGGTCACGGTGCTTCAGTGTCACCCACCGGCTGTCTGATGACCGCCAGTCCATTCTTCCAGAGAAGAAGCCGCAGCTGTCGGAAGAAGGCCATAAGTGCAGGAGGCTAGAATAAAACAATACAGCAGTCCATTAACTTGTGATTCATAGTTTAGAATATACTGTTTAATATAATGTTTAATATACTGTATGTTTAATATACTGTTTCAATAAGGACTTGCTACAAAGTCTGTGAAATGTATTTAAACTTTTCTTAACACAGCCTCAGCATGGTTCACTATACTAGAGTATGGATAATGGATATGGATATGGATATATATATATATATATATATATGGATAGAGTGTGTTCTAGAATTGTGCCGCTCAAGGTGGTTGCATGTTGGAGCAGCTCTGTTACGTTCATTCTGAGATTTTGCTTTTGGAAACTTTAATTCCTGTTTTTCTGGATGTAAATCACATTTTTTGGATGATTGTTTCCTCTGGTATCAGATGCTGTGCAGCTGGAAGGATTTTTACTGAAACTTTTTTAGTTTTGGACATTTGTTATGATGCGTAACCATGGCCACAAGGCAGTTTTCTACAACCAACAGCAGCTGATTAACATCGCAAAAGCTCAAATAATATCTCAACTACAGCCCCAAATCTCAAATGAGTTGAAAAGGATGTTCTGTGGACGCATTCTCATCTACCTGCCAGCTGTGCTCGAGTGCCTGACCACTGAGATCCTGGAACTAGCAGGAAACACGGCTCATGACAGCAGAAGGACAGGATCATCCCTCGGCACCTACATTTGGCTGTCCGCAGTGACGAGGAGCTCGGCAGACTGCTGGGAGGAGTGGCCATCGCTCTGGGAGGAGTTCTGCCCGGCATTCGGGTGGTCCTACAGCCCGGGGGAACCGAGAGGCCAGCCAAGACTGGGTGGACTGATCGGACGGCATGTTTCTTAGGATCCACTGTGGGATGGACCTTTACAAGAGATCTTTCCTGCCTACAGCCATCAGTATCTATAACATCTCTCAATGAAATGAGGATAACGAGTTACAACAACAAATAATTTCCCTTTGGGATTAATAAAGTATTTTTGAATTGAATTGAATTGAATTGAATAAGCAGTATAGAACAGAACTTTCATTGATTAAAGTAGTAATAGTGATTAAAGACAGACACAGATAAACCTGTCACACTACCTTTCATGTCAGAGTATTAGACTAAGAATTTCTTATGCTGGGAAATAACTGAATTGTATCTCTTTTATTCCTACCTTGAATATAACATCATGTGCTATCTCTTGAAATATCATGTTCAGAGTAAAGTTTGTGTTATGAATTACTCTCAGCTACTACCACCTCCAATTTTAGCTAGCTCTCTATGAAAGTGACTGAGCTGTAGCCATTTTTATGTTAGTCAAAGATGATTAGCTGTAGAGGTCATCCTGAAATGGAGTGACTTGAAAAGTTAAAGAGTTGTAGATGTTTATCAAGTGATGTATTTCTGAAAGTCTCATTTTAATCTCTCCAGTCGTTCATGAAATATTTTGCTAACAGACAAACAAGATTGACACCGACAGTAAATGCTGGGATTGTAAACTTAGTTTTTGCACACTGAGTAGCACTCAGATTATGTGATGTGAATGACTCACAGCTACAACCACGCCACAGTTTACCTCTAAATCTGTAAAACTGATTGAATTATAGCCGGGTTTGTGCTTTCTAAATGCAGTTGGCAGTGGCATCCATATTGAACTAGATTGCCTCCAAAAACTAACGACGAGAACAGGTATATCCAGTGAATATTTACTACAAGTTTCATCAAAATCAGCCCAGTGGTTCATGGGATATTTTTGCTAACAGACATGAACAGTTCATTTTAATCAAACTAAGGTTTTTGCACACAATAGGCTGTGCCAACTCACTAAACTAAATGACAACAAAGTAACATACAATCTACGAGGAAATTAAATGTTATCCAGCATATTTTCCTAAATACGCTTAATAAAACACTGTAAAGTACTTACCTACTACTGTCGTCCTCCTTAGTTGAGTAAATTGTTGGTTATCTTAGCCTTATTAAGGACATCATGCTCCCTAGCAGGATGTCCTGTCCATCAGTTGCTTGGTGAAAATAAAAACCTGAACAAATTCACCCTTAAAATGCAAAAATAAGCAAATCCAAACAAAAAAGAAAACTGAACCAGTATGAGGATTTTGAAGTACCTGTAGTAACAAGCTGCTGTCTCCTAACTGCACCTGTCCTGACAGTAATGAAGGTGCTGAAGCTCCTCCTCTGCTGAAGACATTCTGTTTGAAGGGTAGGTTTCTTTTCTGTTTCCAAAACAGCAACAAAAAAAAATAAAAATCTCATGACTTCTTACCGGTAAGGCCTCTAAGTCCTGCTTAATCATCAACCATTCTATTATTTTTATGATTATACTGAAAGGTATGCCTTTTCTCTCTGATACACGCAATTTTTAATGAATAAGAGATGTCCTTCTTGAGCAAATTAAAATAATCAGATTTAAACTGTACTTTACTCTAAGTATTATAGTTCTTGTTCAGGATATATTGGACTAAAATATCGTTTCAGATCATTGTTCTATATACTCTGAGAACACGTCTTAAAGATGGCCAGATTGGCTCAATAGCATCATATTACACACTCCTTTTGTAACATGTTGTTGAGAAGGTGTCTCATCTGGGAACAGTCGCACAACATGAACACTCTCCTCTGGGAAACGTGGGCGAACTGAGACTTTTCCAGACGTTTTCGCTCTCCTCAGCTTAAAGGAGCCAAAAGATTTCAAGCGATACTCACAATTTAATAGTCATGTAAGTAAAAGTATAGACTTGAGAGGAAATGTGTCATCGGGGTTAGACAGACTAGATTTCATCCCATTTTTTTACTTTTTTTGAAAGGTCAGCATCGCCGAGGCTTCTTTGTTGCATAAGTTTCGACATTATTCTGGCCTTAAATTCTTTGCATTACCAGGGTGAACACAAAGCTCTATAGCCGCTTTGTTAATTATCATCAAGGTAGTTCTACTGGTTTGTCATCTTGATAGCTTTGTGTGGGAAGAAAAAAAGAAATTCCCAGAATCAGAAAGGCAAAGTGCGGTGTGAACCCAGCAGGCACGTTTCCGACAAAAAAAGTTCCTGAACACGTTTTTACAGTTTGATCCATTTTCAGCATTTTTTTTTATTTTTTATTAACTACAAACTCAAATATATATATGTATATATTTTAATTAATGGCTTCTTAACATCCACCGATTGGAAACAGCTACTGAAGCACAAACAGTTGTCTTCTGTTTAAAATAAAACCATATATTTATTGAATAGTATTGAACTAGTATTGAACTAATGTCTCTCAAATGGAAGGCGTGTGGTGTTCGAAAGAAGTTTTCAAATGAAGCGTATTTTCAGGAAAAACCTAGTTTCTAAGCAACAAAACGATTTTAAAGCCACTTGTCTTTAAAATCATCCCAAATTTGACATTATCAGCTTTCAAGTTGTCGGCAGGCGTGGCTCAGTTGGTAGAGCTGCTGCCTCTCAGAGAGCAGGTCACCCTGGTTCAAATCCCAGCCAGGGGCCTTTCTGGGTGGAGTTTGCATGTTCTCTCTGTGCATGTGTGGGTGTTCTCTGGGTACTCCAGTCTCCGCCCACAGACCAAAAACATGCATGTTAGGCTGACTGGTAACTAAACTATCCCTAGGTGTGAGTGAGAGAGTGAATGTTTGTCTCATGTGTCTATGTGTCCTTGTGAGGGTCTGGAGACCTGTCCAGGGTGTCCCCCGCCTCTCGCACAGACACTGCTGGATATGGGCACCAATTAAATTCAGTTTATTTATATAGCGCCAAGTCACAATAGAAGCCGTCCCAGGGAACTGAAGAGAAACATTCATATCTAAAATAAGTTAACAGAAACATTCTTATTTAAAAATAATAATTTAACATTATTTATCTGAGGAGCAGAGTGCTTTGAGTTGAACTCATCGCAGAACTCTCATCTTGAGCAAGCATGAAGGCGACGGTGGGAAAGAAAAACTCGCTCATGAGGAAGAAACCTCCAGCAGAACCAGGCTCAGGACAAGCGGCCATCTGCTTCGAACGTGTGGGTTTGAGAGGAACAGATGCACAATGGCAGGTCACGAATCACATGTTAAGATAGAAATAATATCAAATGAAAACTATTCAATTGGAGCAATTCATTTAAGGAAATTAGGTCAATTTGTCCTCAAGTAGTCTATAGTAGCATGACAACCCTAATTATAGGACTTATCAAAAAGGAAAGTCATGAGTCCAGTCTTAAAACTGGACAATGCGTCAGCCTCACGGACAGAAACTGGAAGTTGGTTCCACAAGAGAGGAGCCTGATAAATGAAAGATCGTTCTCCCATCCTGCTTTTGGAAACTCTAGGAACCACAAGGAAGCGCAGACTGAGAGGAAAGTGCCCCCTGACCTGAACAGAAAGAAGCAGGTAAAGATGATGGATGGATGGAACTGCAAGTTCACACTTGAATGAGATGGGGAGAAATCTTTAGCCAAACATATCTGAAATGTCTTATCTGATGTGTGGGGGGGGGGGGGGGGGGGGGGGGGGGGTCATCATTCAAGACTGAACAAAATAGTCAATAAAGTCACCGTGAGGGTTTTGTATTAAAACAGTTTAAGTGTTGGGTTTAAAGACTTAAAGGTGAACAACACCTACACTAATCAACAAAGTGTTGCCAAACATTTCTTATCCTTTCTTCAATTCAACTGAAAAATACTTTTTAAATCCCAAATGAAAATTAAATGTCGTAATTCATCATCCTGGTTTTGATAGAGTTGTTACAGATGCTGATGGCTGCAGGCAGGAAGGATCTCCTGTAGCGGTCCGTCCCACGGTGGATCGGAAGAAATTTGCCGCAGATGCCGATCCGTCCACCCGGACCCGATGGGTCTCCTGGGCAGCAGGAGGACCGAGTGTGTCTTTATTTTGAAAATCTAAAGGGTTTTCTTTTACTAACTAGCAGAAGACTGGCTTTTTTGTTGCATTTTAGCCTCTTTCAGTAAAAGAGTGATTGTTTTGCTGTATGAATTGATCATTTTATAAAAAACAAACTATTAAGTTGAACACATACAGAAATATGTATTTTATTTATGAGCTTATGAGCCCTCTTTAATATTAATTATCAGCATAAACTCACCACAATCATTTGATCATGAGTCATATTAACCCTTTAATTGACATGAATGGTTTAAACTCTTCTTTAATCGTGTAAACTTTTTTCTTTAAAATAACAGGTTTTTAAATGCCCTATGCAGAAAATTATGTTAAATATTGCCATCAAATATTAGCGATTAGAGGACACTTTTCACTGTTTGCGTAGCTTTTAAATATAAAACCTACAACTCTGTAAAATACAAACCTCATAAAAACAGAAACACAGTAACCAAGCGGTCTATAAATATATGTAGATTTAATGGTTGAACTTTACAATAATACAAATTTGAGCCTTTTGAGCATAAAGTTCAAACACAGAAGCCATCTGATTAAAATCACTGAAATACTGAGGAACAAAACGTGTATTTTGTTTTAGACAAAATATCACTGTTAACACTGTTTTTGGCACTTGAGTGTCAGGAGAGTCGGCGGTAGCATCAGTAAACGATTTTCCAGTGTGTGGGCTGCTCGCACTGTTTCTCAGAGTCTCCACAGAAACGGTTGTATGTGGTTTTCGGGTCAAAACCCAGAATTTCTCTCTCCTCATGGATCCGGAAAGAGAAAGTTGACACTGATGTTCCAATGAAGACTCTGGAAAAGAAAAAAAATTAAAAAAATGAGGTGAAACCAGAGGGATAAGTGATGAAGACGAGAATGTGCCAATCTTGAGTCACCTGGACTCGTTTTACAAGTTGAGGTATTGTTTTAGGCTTGAATTAAAGAAATGGTGTGGCTAAAATATCTAAGCTATTTAATGTTACACAAGAGTGTGTCCCAACTGGTTTCCCATGAATAATCTCAAACATAATAGAACAGAAGAGATTACAAACTTCAGCTGATGCAGTTAATCACACATGAGGCACACATTTTATTTTGACAAACAAAAACCCTCAAAAAATGCACCTGCTAATATTGCTGCAAGTCTAGAAGTACAACTAACAGAAAAAAATATATATATACATATACAACCAATAAGAGAGGCCAAGAGATACAGCACAGCAAACTTTTAATAGCAGGCTAATTTGTTTCTGTTAAAACTCTAAATGTTTAATTGAGTAGCTTTAACCTTTAGCATAATTAGGAAATCAAAATGGTTCAATAGTTTAATTTCTGACTGTGTGAAAAATATCCTGTAGAGAAAAGAAAAATTTTGATTGTGAATATTTCTACACAGTAGCATGGCTCAGTGTTATACAATAAAAAAATTACAAGATATTTAAATTGGTTTCCAAAGAAAACAACACATTAAACTTAAAATTGTCATAATTAGCTCAAAGCCCGTTAAGTTTTGAGGTTTAAACTTTCTGACATCTATTTTATAATTAACATTAACTCATCACATTTAGACAGATTATGGATTTTTATACAATGAAAAACGCACTTTTAAAGACAAAAAATATATATAATTTGACTTACTGCTGGTGCTAAATTACAAATTTTGAAATAATCTAATAGAAATTGAGCTAAACTGCACTCTTGTAAAAAAGAGTATTTAAAACTAGGTGAAATGTTATGTGATATAGGATCAATGCTGAACATCATACATGCATAAAGTTTTAAATTGTATAGACATAATCACCAAGAGATTACCTGCTGTATGTTGGCTGACATTTTTAATTATTTATTTTCTTCATATTTACTTTTTGAAAGTCTTTAAATGTGACAGAACAGACAGAACTGCTGAAACAGCACATTATTTGTTTTAATCACAACTTTTTTAAGTACACAGAATATTGCTTTAAAATTAGTTTAAATCTAAATAAGTGCCACACGTCTATTATTACATACTGTGCATTTAGCTTATTTTTAAAGTCATTTTCTCCTAGACATCTAAGCAAACTAGTTTATTATGCTCTATGAAGATGGTGCCCCCTGCTGGTCATTATACACACTACATATTTAAGATAACCTAAAACAGAGTAAGAGTCAGATATTTATTTGTCATACACACCACACGTGGTACATGAGGTGGGATGAAACTATGTACACAGGGTCCCAGTTACATCCAACAAAAACACAAACTGTAAATGAAAACATTAGTAAGATCTGAGTCATGAACTAAAAATATACTACATTCACTAAACTAAGAATACACAAGACTAAGAATACGCTAAGCACTAATAGTACAAAAACAATGCACCAAAACAACAGCTTCATTTATTTCTCATGAAAATCTAAAGCACATTAAAGACAAAATACCTTGCATGAGTGCAGATCCACTGGTCAATAATGGCCACGCCTCCATCTTTCAGCAGCTCCAAGTCTTCTTTGGATGGCTCAAACCGAACCATGTCAGGCAACAACCTTTTCAGCTCCTTTAGTTCTACAAGATTACAGAAATTTCACATGGTGATAACTGTTTATTTCCTTGTCTTCTAGTAGGTACATTCCCATGTATCTTCTTTTGGGTTGGTAATGTTGTCTGAATTGTTTTTGAGTTTTAATAAAAATAAAAGTCATTAGAAAACATCAGAAAACCCTTAGCTTATGTGAATGAACAAAATTGTATTTGTTCCTAGGATTGCTGTGTATTACCGTCTCCATCTGCATCCGTTGCAATAAACACAGAGTCGAGTTTGTGCTTTTTCATCAAGCTTCGGACTTTCTTAACGGCCCCCTTAAGGCTGGGCACATCGTCTCTGTGACCCCAGATGAAGTCCTTACGGCGCAGATGCACCCCTACATATGGACCACCTCTGGCTGAACCAGGTTTTGCCTAATAAGGAAATAAAATAAAAAAGAAGCCAAATGATTAATTACTACTAATGACTTAAGGAAATCCTTGATATCCTTTACAGTGCCTTACAAAAGTATTCGGCCCTCTTGAACTTTTCAACCTTTTGCCAAATTTCAGGCTTCAAACATAAAGATATAAAAATTTAATTTTTTGTGAAGAATCAACAACAAGTGGGACACAATCGTGAAGTGGAATGAAATTTATTGGATGTGTCAAACTTTTTAACAAATAAAAAACTGAAAAGTGGGGCATGCAATATTATTCGCCCCTCTTGCGTTAATACTTTGTAGCGCCGCCTTTTGCTGCAGTTCCAGCTGCAAGTCTCTTGAGGTATGTCTCTATCAGTTTTACACATGGAGAGACTGAAATTCTTGCCCATTCTTCTTTGCAACACAGCTCGAGCTCAGTGAGGTTGGATGGAGAGCGTTTGTGAACAGCAGTCTTCAGCTCTTTCCACAGGTTCTCGATTGGATTCAGGTCTGGACTTTGACTTGGCCATTCCAACACCTGGATATGTTTATTTGTGAACCATTCCATTGTAGATTTGTCTTTATGTTTTGGATCATTGTCTTGTTGGAAGATAAATCTCCGTCCCAGTCTCGGGTCTCTTGCAGACTCAAACAGGTTTTCTTCCAGAATTGTCCTGTATTTGGCCCCATCCATCTTCCCATCAATTCTGACCATCTTCCCTGTCCCTGCTGACAAGAAGCAGGCCCAAACCATGATGCTGCCACCACCATGTTTGACAGTGGGGATGGTGTGTTCAGGGTGACGAGCTGTGTTGCTTTTACGCCAAACATATTGTTTTGCATTGTGGCCAAACAGTTGGATTTTGGTTTCATGTGACCAGAGCACCTTCTTCCACATGTTTGGTGTGTCTCCCAGGTGCTTGTGGCAAACTTTAAACAACACTTTTTACGGATATCTTTGAGAAATGGCTTTCTTCTTGCCACTTTTCCATAAAGGCCAGATTTGTGCAGTGTACGACTGATTGTTGTCCTAAGGACAGACTCTCCCACCTCAGCTGTAGATCTCTGCAGTTCATCCAGAGTGATCATGGGCCTCTTGGCTGCATCTCTGATCAGTCTTCTCCTTGTTCCAGATGAAAGTTTAGAGGGACGGCCGGGTCTTGGTAGATTTGCAGTGGTCTGATACTCCTTCCATTTCAATATGATTGCTTGCACAGTGCTCCTTGGGATGTTTAAAGCTTGGGAAATCTTGTTGTATCCAAATCCGGTTTTAAACTTCTCCACAACAGTATCTCGGACCTGCCTGGTGTGTTCCTTGGTCTTCATGATGCTCTCTGCGCTTTGAACAGAAAACCTGAGACTTCTTCTTCTTCTTAGTTTTTCTTTGGCGGTTGGCATTCAAGATTTTGAAGCATTACCGCCATCTGCTGTTTTAGATGGTCAACTGGAATGTCGCTAAAAAAATAAAAAATAAAATAATAAAATAAAAAATAAATAAATTATATCCATAAGAATAAATAACGCTCATATTCTCTCGAACAACTGAGTCCTTTTCAGGTATTTCAACAAGATGTTGGTACCTGCAGAACTTGAATTTTCTTGTAACAGCCCTACAGGGTCAAATCTGACATTTATTGCATTGAGTCTTTGAATCATTTGTCTTCTTTCATGATGGTAGTTTTGGCAGATCATTAGCACATGTTGTATGGAACCCTGAGACTATCACAGAGCAAGTGCATTTATACAGAGACTTGATTACACACAGGTGGATTCTATTTGTCATCATCAGTCATTTGGGACAACATTGGATCATTCACAGATCCTCACTGAACTTCTGGAGTGAGTTTGCTGCAATGAAAGTAAAGGGGCCGAATAATATTGCACGCCCCACTTTTCAGTTTTTTATTTGTTAAAAAAGTTTGACACATCCAATAAATTTCATTCCACTTCATGATTGTGTCCCACTTGTTGTTGATTCTTCATGAAAAATTTAAATTTTATATCTTTATGTTTGAAGCCTGAAATGTGGCAAAAGGTTGAAAAGTTCAAGGGGGACGAATACTTCCGCAAGGCACTGTATGTAGGGTTGGTTCAGTTGTACTAATTAACAATAGTCAACAACCTACTAAGAACAGCTTGTAGATGGTGTGGCCCAATTTTGCAGAAAGATGTAGGAGTATTGGCATCAGCTCTAAAGTGTCCTGATATTTTGGGGTCAGCTATGTTATAATTAGAATAGTTTGACCACTTTACTACCACCAGACACCCAGTTGTTTTGAGTAACTGGGTTAATCTTCTTGGGCTTTCTTCAAAGTCACCAGCCTACTTGGAGAAAAGCAATAATATTATGCCTAGTAATGTCTGGCTTGGCTTATTTTTGTGATTTTAGTGTTCTTACAAGTTACTCTGACTCCATCTTAATCTTTTATAGCCCTGTGTTCTTGTAGGCAAGCAGATATAGAATAATGTTAGGTATCTATCACACTGAAGAGCGTCAAATAACAGCAACAGTTGACAGCTGGAAAGGGCACTACGTATAGCGATCATACACATTTTGCATGTACCAATCATTGCACCCTGTATTCACTGGTTAACTGGTCATCAGTAACTTCTCGTAGACTCTCTCACTGGTACATTTTCATCTTTAAATCACTTCTTGGTCTGTTGCCTTCATACATCTCCTCCTACATGTCTCTGTGAGTGCAGCTACAGCGTGCGCTCTCAGAACATTATTACCTGCAGTGTTCCCTCAATGAGGACAGAATTAGACAAAAGGGCCTTCTCCTACTCCGCTCCTGTTTCCTGGAATATCTTGTAAAAGGATCTGAAGCTCTCAAACTTGACCTCTCTAAGTGGCTTCAAACATCTGCTAAGTTCATGGCAAAAACCAATGCAGACATGTTCCTGTTTTTAGTTTTCTACATCGACTTACAAAATAGCTGTTTTCATTTTGTTTGTTTTTTAATACCATTTTCTTTCAATTAGTCTTCTCAATTTATATGCTTTCTTTTAGGATTGTCTACTATTGTCTTTGTTGTTTACTGTTATCATTTTTTGTTAAAAAAAAACACGTCTCTCTTGTAAATGACTCCCTGCGGCTCAATGAGACTAACCTGTATAAATAAAGGTTGAATGAAAAAAATAATAATTGCACAATCAGAAAAATCCTTTCTTCTTGGGTGAGTCAAATTTTAGGCAAGCTAAAATGGGGTTTGTCCATTTCTGATAACACTGATTATTATTAACCTTTATTTAACCAGGCAAATCCCATTGAGATCACAGATCTCTTTTGCAAGGGAGGCCTGAGCCTGAAGGCGGCCTAACATGCATGTTTTTGGTTATTTCGATACTAGAAGTTTCTGCCTGCTTCTGCTGCAAACAGTGACAACGTGTACTAAATCATTCAACAAATCATAAAAAACACCAATAATGAACATGATGTGTACACCACTATCTATTTGAAAGGTAAAACTTGTTACCTTGTACATATAGAAAGTAAACATTTAAAACAGCTTTCCCCTTCCAAAAAAAAAGGAAAATTTCTAAACTAATAATAAGATAGTAATAATATTAATAACAATAGGGAAAGGAATAAGAATAGGAGTTCCCGCGGGATCAATAAAGTTCTATCTTATCTCTTATCTTAGGATACACAATGACTCACTTTCATGCGAGTCCAGTCCTCATTATATACCGTAAGATCTCTGTCATCTGTAGAGTTCAGGTATTTTGCTCTGAAATCATCACCTATGAGTCGCAGGTGCTTGGCAAACACCATGCTGCGTCGAGTCTAATGGAAACAGAGAAAACACAAGAGATGTATATGGTATATAAACAGGCAGCAAAGTATGACTTCCCTTTACTTGAAAAATAGTTTGTAAAAATTATCTAATCATAGTTTGGAAGTTGTATTCAAAGGACAAATGGTCATGCAAAAAATATCCTTTGTATCAGATAACTCAAAGCTAAACAAACAAACAAAAAAAAAAGAAGAAAGAAATAAAAAAGTGATCTGTGCTGGCAAAACAAATCAAAATGAGGAATTTTTAAATATTGAGGCATTATTATTTTCAAATTCCCCATCTTTAAAGCAATACACAGTTTGTTAAAATTTAGAAATGTATCATCAGCCCTGGCCACAAGCTAGCTTTGTTCATGATGGTGCTGGTTTGAAATCACAGTTTTAGTGGACCAATAAAAATTGAGATTTCAAACTGAGAATGATGTCATCAGGTAGCCTGTATTTATCCTAAAAGGGGAATGGCCAAGCTTTACAAAGATGCCAAATGTTATATAAATGGATTTCTCCATGCTGTGGCAGCCGGCAAAGAAAAATGGTGATTAGGAATTATTAGTAAGTTTCTATGATATTTTAGTTAGTGGGATCACTACACAGTGTCTTATAGACTCATTTTGTCATGGCAGATTGTGCTCATTCCAACTTTTTGTCTGCATGGGTCACAAATATGATTCCCATTGACAAGTTTTCTAAAACAGGCAATATTACTTGACTTACATCCCAGTAATCCTTCCCTGCATAGTGGTCATGAAGAAGTGTCTCTGCCCGATCAAGCATAACTGATCTAAAAGAAAAAGAAAAAAAGCACACATTTACTCTTTTTTTTTTTTTAGTTAAATCATAATATACATTTGTTGAGTATCAATGCATCATCTCAATAAAAGAAACAGAAATGCCTGTCAAAAGTGTGAAGAATTAGTTTTGCGCGTATTGCTCTGCCTCAAAATGGGACTCTGATGAAGCAAAAAAAAAAAATTCATATTTCAACAATAAGTTCTTGAGAACAAAATTTATGGTACTTTATCAAAATTCATGTTCATTAATCCAGGTAAAAAAATCTAACAAAGTTAAGTCAACGTCCTCTGGATGGTTTCTTTTTTTGTTGAAACATTTCGTCCTTCATCCAAAGGACTTCATCCAAAGGACTTCTTCAGTCCAAGGAGCCACAACAAACTCAGTACCACAAGCAGCACACTCACATAGTGGGCCAACCAGTTTGATGGTGATAAGCTGGTTTCTGGAGTCCACCCCTCTCCCCCACTGACTCCTCTGAGACAGTTATAGCCAAAGTGGTTCAAAACTTTTATCACCATCAAACTGGTTGGCCCACTATGTGAGTGTGCTGCTTGTGGTACTGAGTTTGTTGTGACTCCATGGACTGATGAAGTTCTTTGGATGAAGGACGAAATGTTAAAAAAAAAAAAAAAAAAAAAGAAACTGTCCAGAGGACCTGACTGAACTTTGTTGGAAGATTTACTTTACTTTCATTTCATTTACAGTAGTCAATCGCTACTTTGCAGTTCGTTTTTCACACTCGCTCTACCGCAGTTTTTCAAAATAAGATTGTACATGACACACAATTGGCTGATTGATGGATGAGCCACACGATCGGCATGTGATTTTTATTTAAAATAAACTATTTTAAATTATTTAGAAGAAGGAGAAGGTGCTGAGGGCTGGACTGGAGGTTGTAGTGAACTTGATCTGATGTCAAATCTGACCAGATGGGACAGAAACTGTTATTTCATTGATCTGCATCCAGAAATACAGTTTGACCCATCCTGAGACTTTCTTTCTTGAATTAATCAAGTAGAAATGACAATTCTCTATGATCATTACTATTTTACAAATGTTTGATAATCAAATTGTGTTAGTTCACTCAATGTTTACAGGTTGAAGAGAACTACTCATTTTTATTTACATAAACAGTAAGTAATGATTTTTATTCCTCATTCTAAGAAGAAATCAGGTTAATATGCATTTCTTGATTTTTCTGTCTTAAATGAGCAAGTTTTGTAAGTGTGTGTTAAGGTTCAAGTTTCGGTCAACTAAAAGTTTACTGAAAAAGAAATGTCATGTTTAACTTTTACAGCAGATAATAGGGGTAGAGACTCCACGAAGTCTGAAGTTCTCCAATAATCTTTCTGTCTGTCACTAAAACAATCCTTGACTTTTCATAACACCTTACATCACAAACCACACCTCTTTCTGGTCCATCGACCAATCAAAAAGCTCTCAAATGACCCGGAAGTCGACCCATTTAAATGTGGCAACTTCCCAGTCCAGCGGGGTGCGCTCAGTTTTGAGTTCAACATGGGAGTTTTCAGAGCTTGAAAGTTTTCCTGGAGAAGAGTTCCAGACTTTAACTCTCTGAAGAGAGTTAAAGAGTTCAGAGTTCTTGGATGCTAACGCAGGCGTCCAGAATGCTTCTATTGGAATCCAGAATCCAGAGACAATTTTGGGGATTATAACTTCTGTTTGGATAACCTCGCACGACTCTCGAAGTATCTTAGCTGTTCTCAACGGAGACGCTGAAAGAGTCAAAGGAAGGATTCTATACCGACGCTGACCTATCGTCAACCAGGTAAAAGTTCTACTTCGACCAAGCGTACCGTGACCAAGCTGAGAACTGAAGGAGCGTGCACGTTTCTGGTCAAACAGATTAATTCCCTCACACATCTCTCTGTAAGATAAATCTCCATTTTCCATCTTAAACTCTCCTTTCTCCTTAAATCATTACAGATATTTTAGAAATATCTGAAGCAAAGTTCTCAATCACCGCCGTGTGATTGATGTCTGCTGTTTCTGCTGAAAAGTGAGGACAATCGCCGTATTGTCCCACTTCCTGTGAAACTAGCCATGTTATTGTTTTCATATTTTGCCAAATCAATGTAAATGTTTGATGTTAAACTTTGATTCTGCAAATAAATGACCGCATTCATTTTGATGGGTCAAAGGTAAATAACGTCTCTGTTACATTTCTGTTAAAATCAATGCACGACACTTACACAGTCAGAAAAATGAAGAACTCGCGAAATGTATGAATATATCCTGCATATGTCATACTACAAGGTTATTCTATAAAACTAACTTGTCCGGTTCAGGAAGTTAGAGCAGATCAGTGTTTTCAGACGGATGAGGGCATTGATAAGAGTGTGATCTTGTAAGTGCATTAATGTTCTGCAACTGCTGGACTGCTCTCCAAAGCTTTGTAATAAATCTGATGAACTACACCTTGGTCTATCTGGAAATCTCCTTTTTTCCACAACACAAGCTAAAGAACGCTTCTCAGATATAAGATATACAACATCAGCAGGTATAGTCAAACCCATGTCTCAATAAAGTTTTACATTTATTAATTAGCCTTTATTTAATCTGACTAATCCCATTGGGATCACCCATCTTTTGCAAAGGAAGTGGGCTTGAAAGCAGCCTAAAATTAATGTTTTTAAGACTTAAAAACATGCATGTTAAAGAACTTTTAAAAAGTGACCCATGTCTAAATGTTTGCTTTTGCCTCTCTTATTAAAGTAATTACTGATAAATACATAAATTAAAAAAAACATATAAAAAAGCTTCCTGTGTTTAAATGTTAGTCTATCAACTCACGTTGCAGAGAAGTTTTTCTGAAGAACGGGGGCCATGATTGAGGCATGACCTTGAGCCGATATGCATGTTACATTTCGAGCTCTTGTTTCCTCATAGCCCCAAAACCATCCTCTGTGGAAACATACAAAATAAGGCAGATAAGATGAAAAGAGAAAATAAATGTACAGGTATGAAAACACACCAAGATATTAATAATAATGTTGGGAATGGGAGTTTGCAAATACTGTATCTAAAGCATAATTGTCTATTTTATCAAGCTCAACATATTTAATGACTTTTTTTCAAATATGGTATTTTCATTTTCAGTATGCTCTCATTATTTCACACTATTAGTTTTTGACAAAAAAAAAAAAAACTTCATTAAATTAAATTTATATTACATTGATATCATTATGCCGGTTAATTGTGTTATTGTACCTGTAGTAGCCCTGCTTATCTTTGGAGTACATCACCTTCTCAATACATGGCCTCTCATCAACTTTTTCTTCCCATTTCCCATCAGTCCATCCCTCAGCATAGTTCTGCAGTACCAGAACTTGATCAATAAATGGCCCTCCATTTTCTACATCCAAAATAAAAACAAAAAAGGTCTAAATGAGTATCGATTTTTAAACATAATTAAACTGAGAGGCAGTAATCATTGTGTGTTTTAACAGTATCGGAAACAGTGTTTAAATAAACAACACGATCACATGTACTGATTATGCCTCAACAGAGCTTCAGATAAATGTAATCACCTGCAATAAATTCCTCATACTCAATAACAGGCACATTGGCCTGCAGACTGGTGAGGCTGAAGAATTCTCCCCACGGGATACGGATCTGGTGGAGGTCCGGACTTTGCCAGTGGTAGAGGCGACCCCATGGGGGAAGAACTAATACCCAGTCGTCTCCCTCTTTCCTTAAAGTTTTGATCATGGAAGCCATGCGGATATAAACATCTCTCCGCAGATTAAATCCTTCCGGAGGGTTTACATCATATAAAAGGTACCTGTGATGAAATAGAGAAACAAAAGAAAAATATTTAACACCAAACTTGTAAAGATTTATTTGGTCAATCTTGCCTCCATCACTATAAAACAATAAATGAGTAAATCTTCCTTTAGGGGAAAAAAAACCCCACTATTATTATTGTTGGCAATAGAAGCTCTGATGTGTTCTCTATGCAATTAATTATATTTTATTAACAATGAAGGGATGAATGAATGAGAAAATGGATGAAAGAGAAAGTAACTCTGTGGGAGATTTCATAGGGAACATCTTAACAGCATGATAGTGATTTGGTAAGTCCTGGCTGTATGAGTTTAATAGATTTATGGGTGTTACACGTAAAACCTATTAAGTCGCTCTCTTTGAGATTAAGCTTCAAATACGCGTTCAAGCCTGAAAAACTAAGAAAAACGCATATGCGAGAGGCGACAATCATAACTTGAAGCTAAAGTTGCCATAAAAAGAAACACAACCGCTACAAATAATAAAAAGGTAATTGGTCAAATTACCTTTAGCACCCCTGACTAGCTATGCTAACACACAACAGGAAACTCACCGGAGCTCTTTAGCCGCAGCGACGGAAACAGAAGCCGTTTGACTAGCAGAGAAAACACTGTCACATTTTGTTGTTCCTACAGCTGCAAAAGCCACAAAAACAAACAAAAAGAAAGCGCTAAACGAAGAGGCTGACGCCAGATAATTTACTAGTACATGTAAAATGTTGCACGCCATATTTTCCTTTAGCTTACGCACTTCCGGTAAAAAGTGAAGCGTCTGTGTCGTTGCTGAGCAACCGCCAATCACAAGCAGCCATCAGAAGCCAAGTTTCATTCATTTAAAGGAGTTTAGGTGAGATTTTTTTTTAAGTTGTAAGAGTTTGAGCCAGCATTATCATACATGAGTAGTCTTTATAAGTGCATTTTTGCATATTAAATTCAGATATTTACTTTTTGGCGTTCATTGTCATCTAAAAATGTGCTTATGTCATTATTACATGTCTTAAAGCTTCAGTATATTGTACAAAAATGTGACAACGGAGACAAAGAAAAAATGGCCCATGCTGTATGAAAACAGAATTTTCACTAACGTTTTGAATTCAAAAAAGCAAACTAGCTGTTTTTTTTTATTTTTGGTTACATTTTTTAATACCAATTTATTTTCACTTATTCTCAATTTGTATGAATCCTTTATGATTGTCTATTGTTGTCTTTGTTGTCATCACTCTGTTAAAATCAGCTCTCTCTTGTAAATGAGTCCCAGAGTCTCAATGGGATGAACCTGCATAAATAAAAGGTTGAATGAATGAAAAAAAACAGGCATTGTATGCAGGAGGAAGATTTATTGAGCAACACAATCCAGAATTATGTTATGGAACTTTATTGATTCAGTATGAAAGCTCAACAGACACTTTGTCAAAAAAAAAAAATGATGGCACAGAAGAAAAGAACATTACATCATACACTGAAAATAACTTTAAAAAGCAAATGCAAACCTATCTTACATGTTTATTACAAACTAACATCAAAACATCCCTCCCCGCCGCAACACCCCCCTCCCCCAAGTAAAGACTTATTTTGCCTCTTCAATATTCCTCTCCTTCTTCATCTTCTTCAAATGAGTCAAACCCAACCTCCTCATAATCTTTCTCCAGGGCAGCCATGTCTTCTCTGGCCTCAGAGAACTCTCCTTCCTCCATTCCCTCTCCAACATACCAGTGGACAAA